AAACATATTGTAGCAAATACCACTCAGGTTAATTCCCAGCTCACGATAATTGCCCTTCTTTGAGAACAGCCCCAACCACAGAGAGGGACCTGAAGTATGACGCACAATGCCCTTGCAACTTGACCCTGACCTCTGGCTACCTCCTAGGGGCGGACAACTGATCTAAGCTGCACTAATTTTTGAAACTTGAACAGAGAGACTGAAGCTGTTACCTTTTTGACAGTGTCTGAGTACTCCCCTTGCTGAGGCCTCCGGAACTGCTCAGCTTCTTGCCCTTTCTAAGGCTTGGTTGATTAGCTCCATCTCTGGTTCTGAGAGCTATGGCAGAATCCTTTCAATTTAATGAAGCTATCCACAATCATTCTCTACTGCTGTCCACAAATAACTTCAACCATAACACAAACAAGTAGTGCTCCATCTGGGAAATAAAAGTTATCAGTTGAAGATATGCTGGTGACAGAGGAGGGGAGGTCTTCAGTCAGAAAACAGCATAAGTGGTTAATTTATAGATTGAAATAGCAAATTCTTGTTTCATAAGCACTTTACCCTGAAGGAGCTGCAGTGTTGCCTGTTACAGACGGAGTTATTTTCCTACTGGATGTGAAGGGAAGGCGGGAAGGACAGAGTTGTGTGAATAGCCTAAATTATTCACAGTTCCTCCCCCATTCTCCTGGTCGCTGTTATTCAGTTGTGAAATGTTGCTGGGAAGACTGGAAGGAGAAAGCTTAAGGAGGCTGTGGCCTGAAGTTGCGGCTGCTATTGTCCTTCTGGCAGCCTGGGCTGGAGCTGCCAGTGAGGAAAAAATATTTATAAAAGAGTGAAGGGGGCAGCTTCAGAGGCTCTCTTTGGGAAAATGATACAACTGGTTCGAGGTTCCTCCACAATTTCTAGCAGAAGATTGTTCGGCTTCAGGACCCGAGATCAGTGCAACATGCAAGGAGATTGACGAAGAGGAGACCGCCTGCCGAGCACTGGCTGTGTGCCAGCAGGTGGGATGGGACTCTTCACCCAGCAGTCCATTTCTACTCAGCGCTGGGCACAGAGCCACACTTAGCAGAGTTTACTGAACTGTGGCACGCAAGGGTAGAGACCGCGGAAGGCGCAAGATGCAGAGTCAACGGCCTCACAGGCCGCTGAAGGGTGGAGGGGCGGAGGGGGAAAGAGGCCTTGGAACCCAGGAAGGGCCTCGATTCCTCGAAAACCTCGCGTATTTCTGGACGGGAAGTCAAAAGGCGGACGCTGGGGCGCTTGTGGGTTTCGAAACTGAAAACTAGGGAGGGGATTTGGCGGATTTAACGGCCCAGGACCCAGATTGTGGGACGGGACTCTTCACCCAACAGTCCATTTCTACTCAGCGCTGGGCACAGAGCCACACTTAGCAGAGTTTACTGAACTGTGGCACGCAAGGGTAGAGAACGCGGAAGGCGCAAGATGCAGAGTCAACGGCCTCACAGGCCGCTGAGGGGTGGAGGGGCGGAGGGGGAAAGAGGCCTTGGAACCCAGGAAGGGCCTCGATTCCTCGAAAACCTCGCGTATTTCTGGGCGGGAAGTCAAAAGGCGGACGCTGGGGCGCTTGTGGGTTTCGAAACTGAAAACTAGGGAGGGGATTTGGCGGATTTAACGGCCCAGGACCCAGATGATCTACGAAGCGGATCTGTGACCTGTGACGCAGGTTCCAGGCTCAGATAGGCGAAGTGAACGGTATCCTCAGCCAACGGCGCTAAAGCCGTTGCCCGGGAAACGGGGAGGAGGCGGAGCCAACCGAACTTGGACAGACAGCAGCCACAGCAGGGGCGGGACTCTGCTTCTGATTGGTTATGTTCCTCTCGAGGGGCGTGGCTCGTTTACGGCCGAGCGGCCGCTGGGGCGGGTTGGCTTAAGACTGACAAGCTTGACTGGGAGGAAATGGGACTTGGTTTTAACAAGTAGGGCACCAGCCAGGGCGAGACTAGGATAGTCTGATTGGCATAAGTCCACAGGGCAGGAGCTTAAAGCTAGCCCGAACCACCTGTCCTACGCAGACATTTTAGACACAGTCGGGGAAAGGGCATGGTGAGGTGATTTGGGAGAATAGCATTGAAATATATATTTAGTTCAGTTCAGTCGCTCAGTCGTGTCCAACTCTTTGCGACCCCATGGACTGCAGCACCCCAAGGCCTCCCTGTCCATCACCAGCTCCCGGAATTTACTCAAACTCATGCCCATTGAGTCGGTGATGCCATCCAATCATTTCATCCTCTGTCGTCCCCTTCTCCTCCCGCCTTCAATCTTTCCCAGCATCAGGGTGTTTTCCAATGAGTCAGCTCTTCGCATCATGTGGCCAAAGTACTGGAGTTTCAGCTTCAGCATCAGTCCTTCCAATGAATATTCAGGACTGATTTCCTTTAGGATGGACTGGCTGGATCTCCTTGCAGTCCAAGGGACTCTCAAGAGTTTTCTCCAACACCACAGTTCATAAGCATCAATTCTTTGGTGCTCAGCTTTCTTTATAGTCCAACTCTCACATCCATATATGACTACTGGAAAAACCATAGCCTTGACTAGATGGACCTTTGTTAGCAAAGTAATGTCTCTGCTTTTTAATATGCTGTCTAGGTTTTCATAACTTTTCTTCCAAGGAGTGAGCGTCTTTTAATTTCATGGCTGCAGTCACCATCTGCAGTGACTTTGGAGCCCAAAAAAATAACGTTTGAAAAAATAAAGTTTGCCACTGTTTCCAACATATATATATTACCATATGTAAAATAGCCAGTGGGAGTTTGATGTATGATGCAGGGAACCCAAAGCCAGGGTTTTGTGACAACCTCAAGGGGATAGGGAGGGAGGTAGGAGGGGAGTTCAAGAGGGAAGGGATGTATGCATACCTAATGCTGATTCACATTAATGGGTAGCAAAAACCATAACAATACCGTGAAGTAATAATCCTCTAATTTAAAAAAAGAATTAAAGAAGAAGAAAAAAAAGATGTTGGCCTCCACTGGAAATATATACATTTAAAAAAAAATGTTGAACTCATTAGCCCCAATGGCCAAGGAAAAGAGCAGGATATGCCTACTTGGCCCCCTCATAGCCAGGGTAAGCCAGGTCTCCAGATCCAAGCCATTTTTTCCCCCTAGAACATGGACCAGGAGAGAGGAAGAAGGCTGGGGAGGAAGGCCAAGGATGCTGATACAAGTTTCCAGAGAAGGTACCCAGAGTCGGAGCACTGGGAGGAAGACAGGAGACCCAAGAATGGGGCAGATTACTTTCCAGTGAGTAAAGTGCTATCTCTGCCCAAATGCTAGCTTCCAAAGAAAATTCCAAGCATGTGGAAGCAGTCTCGAAAGCATACCTCACTAGGATTTGCCCCTAAAGAACCTGTGAAGTTAACCTAAACCAAACTTTTTTTCTTTTGAGAAGTTGGTGTGAAACTAGGAATTTTGGTGGCAGAAAAGCCTTCCTACTAACTGGCCCACTGGTGCCCTGGCCAGTCTTCTCTCTAACATGGCTTAGTTTTATCTGCAGAGTACAATAATTGTTACTAAATATTCTTAATGATTTTGTTTTACAAAGATTCCTGCACCTCACTCCCTAAGTGGATTTCTTTTGCCTAGATTTTCCAGTGAAGTGCAAGGCCTCTTTTCAAGGGGATTTCTAATGGCCAAAGCTGTAACTGTAGAAAGAGGTTTCAAGATTTAACCCAGGGTGCCAGCTGGGCTTGGTGGGAGACACTGTTCCCTGGCAGGACGCAACTGAAACTGGTTATCTAACTGTCATCCCATAGTTAGTCAAGAATGGAAATCTTTGCTTATACTCCTTGTTATAAAACCCTCAAGCTTGGAAACTCTTCAGTGGCTTTGGTAAAAGGTCTGTCAATTTTTTCTGTCCTGTAAACAAAATGGGCCAGGGAGGAGATGCCCTGGAATGTCAAAACGACTAGAAGAATGACCTCAGGTTAACTGGTGGGTGAGGAGAAAGCATAACATGATTCAGAGTCACTAAACTTGGCTCGAATCCTGATTTGACTACCACATAGTTGTGTAGCTGTAAGCAACTTTCTTAAAGTCTTAAATAAGCCTGTTTTCTTGCTATAGTGAAAGTGATAGTCACTTAGTCATGTCCAATTCTTTGCGACCCATTAACTGTCACCTGCCAGGCTCCTCTCTCCATGGAATTCTCTAGACAAGAATACTGGAGTGGGTATCCACTCCCTTCTCCAGAGGATCTTCCCAACCCAGGGATTGAACCATGGGTTTCCTGCATTTTTCTTGCTATGAATGACCTTGCTGGCCTCACAAGGGTGGTTGTGGAGCTCCAAAGACACAATGGACTTAAAGCATTTAGTTTCATTAAGCCTGCCTGGCATGACTGGAAGGACTCAATGAGCAGTAGCTAGTGTCGCTCCCTACTGCCCATCAAGTGAACTACTTTCCACAAGGAATGGGTGAGCTCAGGCCGGGGGAACAGGTCACCTGAGGCTGTTGTGGGACCATTCAGTCCTAAAGATTCCTAAAGATTTCTCTTGACCACCTACTGTGAGAGCTTTAGGCTGAAAAAAAAAAGGAGTGTGTAGAAGTATGTGACACGCTAACAACTTCTCTGATGGAGCTAGGCAGTCTTTAGCCCTCTAGCCTTCCTCTCTTAGAGGTCACCACCCCATCCCATGCCACATGCCTGAAGACAACCAAGAAGCCCAGAGCCTGAGTTGATTTGTAGGTGTGTGATCAGCCCCTTCCCATCCCCGCCCCCCACCCTAACTCTCCTCTCCTTCAAGGGAATAGGAGGTGGAGCCATCTACCAGCGTCCTTCCCACTTTAGTACTCTGGGTGCTGATGGAAGATTGATTTTCTAATCTCAGAGCGCCCTCTGCTGGGATCTGAGGCTCCCTGCAAATGGGGAAGGAAGAGACTAAGACGAACTTCGGTAGGGAGAGAAGGCTCCCTACAGAAGACTGCAGAAAGGAGGCTCTTCCCTGGCACTCAGGACGTGGAATTGAGTGACAATGAAGAAACAGACAGGTGTTCAGTTTACTGAGTAACAATGGCCCATAGCTTTTATTACTGGTGGTGGTTGGTTGCAGGAAGCAGGAAGGTGCTCTTAGAGGATCACACTGGGGCCTTCACCCCACTTCAGCCAGAGGTCACAGGAGTTGGAGGCAAGGTCCAACTCTTCACTCTGTGAATTCACCAGCACATATTACATCCTCAAGCCCACCTCCCCTTTGGACCAGCCATTGACACCTGGGCCCTTCTGCCTCTTGGAGATGGGGGTGGGGGTGGGAGCAGAATCAACCCTCAAGAAAGAGAAGGAACTAAGATCAGGATGCTGTGGAATGTCTAACAAGATCAGCGCAACAAAAAATCCCCTGTCTTAAAATTGTACACTCAGGCTTCGTCGCCCTGAGGTGTCTCACAGCCACTCAGACACCTGTGGAGTGTAAGCACCATTCCCACAGCTGCCTCCCTCTGTCAGAGGGTGCTGCGGAGGCTCTTAGAAAGGAATGCTTGCTATGCCTTCATGACTTTTTGGTTGTGGGAGGGTGCTGGGATTTAAGTTTAGCTTTGAGGTTATGAAGTCAGAATGAACCAAGAACTCCTGGGATTGTGCCCTAAGATGGCCTTATTGTAGTGGGAGGGAGGGAGGATGGGAAGCCAGCAAGAGCAGTACAGGATGCTGACACTCGTTTGTTCTATAGAGAAGAAGAGAGGAAATGACCCATTCCAGGATGAGGGGGATGGGACAAGCCTCCTGCCTCCCTTATCCCCACATGTCCTCCTCCGCCAGCCCAGTTCTCGAGTCAGCTTTGGGAGCCAGAAAGCAGAAATCTGAAGGATTCAGCCCAGTTTGGCCTGCTAAGTGTCCTTCAATCTTTGTCATGAGATCCTGGGGCTCCTCTTATGTCCAGAAGGGGCAAGGTCCCATCAGAAATGACTTGGCTGGTGAAACTGTTTAGGCAAGAAAGCCCTGTACCCTGGCTGGCAGATAGCCAAGAAGGGAAGCCAGACACGAGGACACCCCAGGGCAGCCTGTACACACACACGTTATCACTTATGTACATACACAGATGTACTGGAGTAGGAGAAAGGGATTATATGACCCTGTCTTTTGAAATCAGAGGAGAGTAAAAGGCTGATGGGGCACCTCTCAGCCTATGGATCGCTGGTCTCAATGGCTGCTCCCCCACCAAGCCCTCTGCCCAGCACCAGGCAGATGGAAAGCAGCAAGGACAGCAAGGCTCTATTAAGCAGCAGCCCAAGGAGGCGAGGAAGGAGGCCAGGGGCTGACCCTGCCTCAGAGCCCCTTGTTGTAGTAAACCACTTCGATGCTGGGGTTTTGCTCCTGAATCTGAACTCTCAGCTCCGGCTCCAGCCTGCTCACGTGTATGGAGCTGTAACAGAAGAGCAGGCTGGCTAAGTGTCCCCTGAGCCCACCCCTCACGCTCAGGGACCACCATCCCTCATCCTCCCAGGCTGCAGAATCTTCTCCTCCGACTGCCAGAGGCCCAGATCACAGTCATTCCCTCACCCCCAGCATAAGCTGAATGCCCACCAGGCCCCTTCCTGGAACACAATGATGGGACCTAAGGTCAGCTGCTCCCACAGGTGTGGAAAAGTGGAAATGAAAGTGTTAGTCCCTCAGTCGTGTCCAACTCGTTGCAACCCTATGGGCCTGTCCAAAGCCCCCAGCCAAGCCCAGGGACAGCACTTACCTTCTCTGGGGGAACAGGGCACAGCACAGTGGGGTGGCAAATACCAGGCTGAGGGAGAAGAGTGTTAGAGAGGTTTGTGAGGCGCTGATCTAAGAGTGTTCCCTCCCAGTCCCCCACTCCATCTCTGGAGACAGCCCCTACGGGTGGAAACTGATTAAAGCCAACGATGACAGATGACAGTACGTTCTGGCTCAGGAAAGAGCCTCCAGAGCAGTGATCCAGAGCGCCAGCCAGTGACAGAACCAAGAACTAAATGTGCATGAAACTCTGAGATGGGACCAAAAGGCTTATTTCCACGGTGGATGTGGGACCCCTTCGACTAGACTCTTGACCTTCAAGAACAGGCCTCACCCCTTAACACACACAGTGTGCTTTACAGGTGTCCAAGAGCCCTACCAGTTGATTGTATGAGTGAATGGCATATATAAACATCTTAAAAGCAATAATATCCACCCACGTTCACCACAGAAAGGACACTCACACATACTCTAGCTATCTTCCTACATACTTACCAGAAACCCACCAGGCCCATCTGCAGTGGGGCCCCCAGCCAGGGGCGGCGCTGGGGGAGAGAGAGAATATAACTGTGTGTCCCCTGCCCCCCCGCCCCATCCGTATACCCATACCACGGTGGTTCTATCCCATCAGCTCTACCTTTAAGCCTGTGATATATGGCCCTTTTCTTTCCCCCTATCCCATAGCAGTGACTGGTCACCTTCCACTCCAGCCAGGCATGTTTGCCGACACCCACCCTAGCATACCATCCTAACCCTTACCTCTCAGAATCACTTCTTACACTTCCTCCAGGAGCGTTTCTCCAGGAAGCCTTCTCTAACCCTCCACTCACTCCCTCCCATCCCACTGCATGAATCTGTCCATTTCCAAACTCACCTCCTGCTCTGCACACCCTTCTTGATTTGCTCCAGCCATAGAGACCACCAATCTGTTGCTCCGTGTGTGTGTGTGTAGTTGGCACTCAATAAATATTTGCGAATAAAGGATTCATCAAATGAGTCAGAGCTTATATTCCTATGCTGTAAAGTACGGGATGTTCTGTCCTGTTCACACATGTGTGAGCCTGTGTGTACGTATGCATGTGTCTCAATGCTTTTCACAGCTGACAGCATGAGCATGATACCAGGTGTAACTGTGATGGTCCCTCACTATGTGTGTCTCTGGAGTGACACCAGCTTCCTTCAGGACAGAAACTCTTTCCTTCCTTTCCTGCCCTTCTCCTTCACCCTCAGTGTTCCTTCACTCCAGTTCAATTTAGTCTTGCTGAATGAATTAACGAAGAGGGAGGCGGAGCACAGGGGTGCAGACAGGTAGCAAGTCTTAGGTCAGGCTGGAGAGGATGTTGGGGACTGGTCACTTCTGCCCCCAGGCACCACTACTTCCAGGATGGGAAAAGTGAAAGTGACCTACCTTCAGGAAGTCTTTCTTCTCCAGGGTGTCCATGATCACCGGGGGAATAGCTGAGGGAAGAGCAGGGCAGGGAGGGAGGGAGTGAATGGAGTGAAAGTCAGGACCCTTAGGAAGGGGCGATCCCCCTTAGCAGCTCCTCCCATTCCCCCCAGAATCTTACAGCTCCCAGAGTCCTCACACCCCCTGGATAATGGCATCCCTTCTCTTAGAGCCTCCCATGCCCCACAGAGCCACTCCTGCCTCACCCATGGCAGGAATCGCCATGCAGATTCTTGATATCACCACCTGGAAGATTCCTTGCTTGGCTGCAACCACAGAATGGCCAAGCCTCTGACCCTGTTTATTGGTCACTGGGATGCCCACCTGCAGCTCCCTGAGAAGGGAAAGGGGTGGGGATCAGATCACAGGCAGCTGGTCCCTGGGGTCCCCTCAGACAGCCTAGATTCAAAGGCTGATTCTCCCACCCCAGCATCCCCCCAGCACCAGATGGAGACTAGGCCCGGCAGTTTGCAAGGCCAGCTGGTATGCCTCCAAGCACTCTGTGCGTGCACATGCCAGAGGCAGGGGCCACTCACCTTTGCCTCATCAGGGGGATGTTGATGCAGTTGGCAGCTGCAACGGCTGCAAAGGGCACAAATCTGCCAACCAGTGGGGGAAGATGCTGGGGGAGAAAAGGTGTCACTGAGCGGCCCTAAGGGCCATGGGGTGGTGGGGAACCCCGAGGAGAGTTACCGGGAGCCTGTAGGTTGAGTGGAGAAGGGGAAAGGGAAGAAGGAGGTAAGTAAAGAGCGAATGGGGGGGCGGCATTTACCTTGGTGAGGGATTTGAGTCCCAGGGCCGTGGCCACAGCCCCGGTGGTGGCACTCACGTATGCTGTTCCCAGCTGCCTGTGGGTGGAAGAGCCAGGAAATGAGGTGGAAATGAACAACCCAGCATGTGGCTGTTTGCTTCAGGGACATGCCAAATCCTCAGTAACTGAGGCATGTGAGGCTGGCCTCACTGCAAAGAAACGTCTCCCCTGCTCCAGTGTAGACCTGTCTGGAAGCCCCAATCCCTCCACTTGAAGAGGGCTGGGTACTCTTCAAGCATACACAAGAAGACCTCACACCATCAGTCAGGCCAGGAAAGTGACAGGCTTAGAGGAGGGCACTGAGCCACTGGCTGCACAGGCCTGGAGGGACAAGAGAGAGAAATGGAGAGCCGGGAGAAGAGTTCCTGGGGTGAGCTCTCACCCCACAGTGATGGGAGCGTCGCCACTGCGGTTGGAATAGTTCACGATGGCATTGAAGGACTGATTCAGCCACTGCCAGAACACCACGGTTGGGGTCTTCCTGAGGGAACAAAGGCACTTATTTCCACAGTGTCCCACATCTTTGGACACTGACATAAAACCCCAAAGGTTATCCCCAAACCCTCTAGAGGGGCCCCGGTGAACCTGCTCTGATGACCTGTGCATGATCCTCCTTACAGAAACACACCTGAGTTTTGAGGAATGGAAGAGATTCTAATACAAGCTCTCAGCCACCCACTATTTTCTGCCCAAACTGGCCCAGAGAGGACATGCCTAATCATCAGGTTACCCTCTAGCCTGAACAGAGTACCAGGGAGGAGACACACAAGATAGGACCTGCCTGTAGAAGATGAGCATGCAGCCAGTGATGGTCATGTTCATGGGCACCTGGGCTGACATGCGGCCAATCAGGACCACCTTCTCTCCTGTGTCTGGATGGAAGGCAGAGTCGTACACGTACTTGGCCCTCCACAGCTGGTCCTCAGTGAGCCCTGGGGTTACCACGCCAGCCCTGCAGAAGTTGGCAAGGAGCTGACAGGCAATTCTAGGGGGCAGATCCACCCTCCCAAGCCCTGCCCACCCAGCTCAGGGGTGATCTGGGCAGAGGACTCTGGCTCCCAGTCTCAGAACAAATGAGCTCCTTGTCTCTGGGGAAGAATCAAATCTTCCAGAAAGAGGGCTCCTATTTCTATTTCCCTTCTAGCCACACAAAGAGGGGTACCCTTCTGTTTCTGTCTAATGCTAGGTCATGGGTCATGGTGGTTTCCAATGGGTCAAAAATGGCTGGGGTACTCTGAGGGTTTTTCCTCCTGGAAACAAGGAGGCTGCCCTCCTAATTTTTTAGGACTCAACTTTGAGCCCCTCCATCCTTGCAGAGGGTGGCCCAGCAGAGGGACAGGTCCCTGTAGAGGGTGTGTGAAGCATAGAACAGCCCCCTACCCATAAATATCAACACCACCTCCTCTACCCAAACACCCTGAAATCCTTTGGGTTGAAGTTCTGTGTCTTAGTTGTCAGTGATTCTGACAGATACAGTCAAGGAGTGAGGGGGTGGAGGAGTAGAACAGGGTCATGCTCAAGTGAGGAGAGATAGGTACAAAAAGTACTGTATGAATAGCAGGGAATGAGCCCCTGGGTCAGATGGGGTCAGGGGTCACCTGTAGTTCTGCACGATGTTCCGGGAAGCTTCTAGCTGTGCCCCAGACAGCAGCAGATTTCGGGGGTCCGTCACAGTGAAGAAGTGCCGGGCTCTGCCTAGGAAAGTGCTTTGGTCCCAGCGAGGTTCCTGGATATTGATATCTAAGGGCAACTCACCCATTTTCTGCAGGGCAGGGACCAAAGTCAGAGGACTCCAAGGAGGGGGTCCAAGGGTTCCACATCAGGGAGACTTCGGTGGTGCTGCCCTGGTCCCTGGGCCTATTGCCAGTCCTTCTAGAGCTCAAGGTGATTTCAGATAGGTAAGCAAGCGGGGGAGGAGCTGTTCTCTAGGCAATATTCCAGCCCAGGGACCTACAGCCCCTGGAGGAGGGGACAGAAGAGAACAGGGCCAGGAAAGCAGATGTCCTTGTGCTCTGGCCTGCTGCAGATTTTCATGAGTGAGGATTTACACATGTGTGGTTGACGCATGAGCAGCAACTAATCCCATGCAGCTACTCTTGTGCTCTGTATGCACAAAAATGCAGATTATATGCATCACACATCCACGTTCATGTCAGATTTAGGCCCCTCCCCTCTCACACACTCACATTCACATACCCACATACAGAGACACCAGCATACTCACCCTACAGAGACCTGCAGACAGGGTGGACACACCCTGTACACCAAGACTGTTACTTACTTACTTACACACACACACACACAGCCTACATACAAACACTTGAGGCTGTTTGGAAAAATGGCATAAGCTGTACCACACTCCAGGCCCTAAACGGAGGTGAGCAAGGGCTCAACAGCTCCAGGGCTTACCTATTCTGGATCTCAAACAGGGGACTGATGCCAGCCAGCCAGATGTACTCAGGGGCATTCACAAGTTCCCTCTCCAGATCCGTCTTCCTCAACCCCACACTGAATTGCCCAAAGTTCTCCTTGTTCCCCAGGTGGGCAGGGCTGGCATGGACACCCACTCACATCTTCCTGAGCCACCTGCCTCTAAAGGAGCAGGATTCAGTAAGTGATCCCTTCACTCAGCATAGAGAGGAAAGTCTGAAGCAGCCGTCTGGCCATGTTGGGCAAAATCCTACAAAATGACTAATCCTCTCCGACCACACTTCCTCACAGGCAGACACACCCTCCCCTCTCACACACTCACATTCACATAGCCACACACAGAGACACCAGCATACTCGCCCTACACAGACCTGCAGACAGGGTGGACACACCCTGTACACCAAGACTGTTACTTACACACACACACACACACACACACACACACACACACACACAGCCTACATCCATCAGCAGCAGACACTTGAATGTGTGACCACACAGAGCCCCACCCTAACATTCCCTCCCTAACCAACCTCCCCTCTGCCCCATGGATCTCCCTAGAGTCGAAGACACTGAATCCTATAGGACAGGGGCAGCTTCCCTTTCTGACTCCCAGCCCTCAACCCTCTACTCCCCTGACCCCCGAACCCCACCCGGTACAGCGAGCACTCACGCTTTCCTAGACTCCTGGGCTCCGCGGTTCTGCAGCTCTCAAACTCGCCTTCCTCCCCGGGCTTCCCCCCCGCCTTCACATCCATCACGCGTAACGTCACGCGTGACGCTCACCGGCTTGAGGGGCGGGGGCTCCGCCCGACGAGGCCAGGGATTGGCAGGGCCTGGGGGCGATGGGTGTCATTAAGGGCGATGCCCCCAGCCCTGGCTACCGAGACCCAGCCCTCCACGGCCTCCCAGAGCCAATCCTGGCTCGGGAATCAGTTCTGGCCGCGTCCCCAGCGCGAGAGAGGAGGGGAGGAGCTGCCCCATTTACTTGCATTCCCTTGGCTGGCCTCGGGAGGCACCCGGCCTCTGCCCAAGGGGTCTAGGTGCCCCCGGCGAAGGCCGGCGGCGCGGAGGGGCATCCTCTCACGGTGCGCCCAGAGGGACTCAGGTTACCTCCAGGCCTGTTTACTTGATGGCTTCCTTGGCCGTAGCCTTTGCCTACTTGGTCCCCTGGGCTCCTACCCCGGTTCCCATAAGGTCCTCTCGCAGCATCTGGACATTCTTACCCCTTCACAGCCCAGGTCTGCTCGCGCCTCTGTCTTTTCAGTGTCCGCACCTTTCCTCCTCTGTATCTTCTATCCTCCCCTCCATCCTCCAGTCCCTTCTATCCTCCCCTCTGTAACCTCTAGCTCCGCTGGGTCCCCAGTTTCCTTATGACTCCAGTCCCTATCCCTGCATCACAGACCCTGGCCCCTGGCCCTGTCCCGGAGGTGAAGGGGCAGAAAGCTCAAGGTACCTCTCTGCATCAAGCAAGTGGATCAGACATTCTTCCTCCTTCTGGTGGCCCGGAACCAGCTTCCCTGCTATGCGTCCTTTCCAGAACTGGAAAGCCAGAGAGACACTTTCTGACATAGAAGGAGGATGCATGTGAAGGCAAAGTTCAAACACACACACACACACACACACACACACACTCACACACTCACAACTCAGTCATCATACAGAACATCCATGCTGCACACTGAGGCTCCAGCTCGAGCTCCTGCCCACTGCAGGCTCACTTCTCTCTCTGTCCAGGTGACATTCCCTCGCTGAGGCCTCAGGGGTGACCGCAGAGAGGTGGCAATTCCATAAGCCCTACCCTAGTAAGTAGCTGGTTTGGCCTGGAAACGACGCGGTTCTAGGCTCGCCTGCACCGAACCAGTAGCGGGAGCTGGGCGAGCCGAGATCTAAGCTTTAAGTTCGTAGTGCAGGATGGGGTATCAGAACTCGAACTGGAGCGGGTAGAACCCACCGGCCCTAGCCCAGTTTACAGACGGCAGCCCGAGGCACCCAGGAGAGGTGGCGGGAGGGAGTGACTGGCGGCATTCCCAGCCAATGGGAGCCCGAGGCTGAGCTGGCCAGCCCTGTTCCTGCAGACTCGGCGGGGCGAGGGCGGGGATTCCCAGGCCGCAGCGCTCTTTTCTCGCCCGCAGGCGCGCGAGGCCGGCGACTGCCGCAGGTGCGAGCAGGTGAGGGGGGACGGGAAGGTTGGAGCCCGGGGGTGGGCTGCTGCATTCTGGGTTCTGGAACTGCTATGCGGGATTTGGCCCGAGGTTTTGCGTGGGATATTGTGGGATTCTCAGCAGCAGGTCCTGTCCCCAAGGCTGGGAGAGGTTCATACACCTCTTTAGACCCAAGGGAATGGGGGACAGAGGAGACTGCAGCCTGGGGCTTGGAGATCTCTGGGGCCCTTGGCTGCAGCTGTCCCAGGTTCTGAAGTCCCTGGAGGCCGCAGCCCACATACACAGGAGAGGTGGTGCGGTGAACTGTCCTGGCCCAAATCTCTCTCAGTGCTTGCAGCCCAAGGACTGGCAATAATCCCACCTCCACTCTCTCAGCCTCTACTGAGGACTGGAGACCTACCTGAATAGATGACTCAGCTGAGAGCAGGAACAAGGGGTAAAAGAGAGGTTCTCACCCAGCTTGTTGTATAAATGGCTCCAAAGTCCACGATGGTGCCTGAAATGGGCAGTTCTCTAGCTGGGAGAGGTGAGAGGCCTAAGGGTTGAACAGGGTGCTCAAGCCAGGGGGAGGGCGTGGGGGTCCTGGGGGGCAGCATTTACACCCCTTCCCCAATCCCTGATCTCCTTGTGCAGGCCTGGAGCACACACTCCTGAGAAGCAGCAGAGGTTTGGGGCTCCCAGTCCTTGAGACCCCGGTTGGCACAGAAGGCTCATGGAGCCCCAGGCGTGGGGGGCCCTCCCCTCGAGGGTCAGCAGGTTCCTTTCGGACCTGCAGGGCGCCACCCCAATCTAGCCAGCATGGCACATGGATTTGCAGTGGGCTTCGACCCGCTGGGTCTTGGAGACCTGAGCTCCAGCTCTCTGAGCTCCCTCTCCTCCCGAGGCCACCTGGGCAGCGAGTCGGGCTCCGCAACGCGATACCTGCTGAGAAAGCAACGGCTGCTGAATGGGCCCCCCCGCGGAATCCGAGCCTCATCGCCCATGGGCCGAGTCATCCTCATCAACTCCCCTATCGAAGGTGGGGGCAGGGCTGGGAACTACCAGAGTGGGTAGGGGACAGCAGGCTTAAGTAGTTGAAGAGCCAGTGTGGGTGGGGGAGTCCTAGGAATGCAGGGAGAGAGAGGGCCTCTGGTAACCCATAGACTCTTCCTTGTCTATCCTTTTCTCATCTTCAGACCGGTTTTTTAGTGTTGCAAGATTATGGAGAGGTCAGAGCTGGGAGGTCTGGGCATGGAGGTGAAGAAGGGGTGTGTGGTATGCTAGCCCCCAAGTAAGCAAGGCCAAGTATTAAATTGGCCCCCTCCCCCCTGTGGACTCTTCCTTTCTCCAGGCTCATTTGAGCATGACTTTTGGGGGAGCATGGAGAAGGACATTCTTCATCAGCCTGCCCTTTGTGTGCCCAGCTCTGGGCTGGGCTGTGGGAGTCAGTGTCCAGATGGACAGACAAAATTAAAGGCTTCAGGTGCAGAGGATGGAGACAGAGGTAGACTGGAAGATGCTCCAAATAATGGGGAGGGGTCGAGGGTCAGCACGGAGTCCCAGATCTGGACCCTGAGGGAGGGGGGCACCTAATCTTAGGCAGTTGCTTAGTGCTGTTTCATGGCACACCTATCTTATACCAGCTCTCATTAGGTCCTGAGGGGAACCTGCAGAGAACTAAGTCTCAATTTTCACCTTCCAGAAATTTCCAGTGTAGCAGGGCTTGGAGACAGAGCCATGGTAACAGCTGGTAGTGAGGTAGAGATATCACAGGCAAGGCTGAAATGTAAGTGTGGAATATGGCAGGTGGGCACTTAGGAGACAGCCTGGTGCAGTGACAGATGTGAGGCGACAAAAAGCCAGTGAACCAGGCAGGACCTTGCCTACCAGCAGGGGAGGGGGCCTCCCTGGGCCTGGGCTTTCCCTGAGCAGAACCAGATAAGTATCTCCAGCTCCCCTCCTCTCTCAGCCAGCAGAGCTCCCCTGGCTGGCTCTCAGACTGGACTTTTCAGACCCTGCTCTTCCCTCTGACCCACGGGGCCCCCTCTATCCCCTGCCATAGGGGCAGGGGTGGAATATTCTGCTCAGAGAGCAGGCTTTCCCACACCAGTGGCTCAGCATGCTCATCCACCATACTGGCCTCACTTTCAGGTGAGCAGCAAGGCAGTATATCATTCTGGACATGGAACTGGAGTCCTCAGATGAACTAGGAGACACGGAGGAGCAGAAGGGTGACACTGCAGTACAGTCCTTGCAAATCCCGTTGTATTAGAATTACACCTATACCTCCCCCCCCCCCCCCCCCCCCCCCCCCCGCACACTCCATGCTTGACGATGATGCAAGGCCTGTGCACACTGTCCCTCTGAAGAGCCTCTTCCAGCAGTTTCATGAGTGCTCTCTCCCTCACCCTATGCTCCAGTGCAGTCAGGAGAGCATCCTCCCTTAGCGATGATGGAAGGACTGGGGCATCAGTCAACCAGTTGGTCTGTCTGGGTTGGGAGCCTGTGAGCTCAGAATTGTCCCCTCTACCTGAGCACAAACATCTCCCAACTCACCACAGGCTGGAGCCCCTCCCCCATGTTATTTTATATGTTATTATTTAGACCCTTCCAGAGACCTAACATAGCTGATGAGGAAGACACAGTAGAAAGGGGAACACTGCTACTCACATTGTCCTCGAGAGTTCCCACCAGCTCCTCAAACTCGTTGGGTCCCAGAGAAATGGCATTATCTTTAATCCCAACCAGCCCCTCTTCTCACTCTCCCAACTCATTCATTTACTCATTATTCTGCTTATTATTTCATTCATCAAAAAAAGGCTTAGCAGGGACTTCCCTGGAGATCCAGTGGTTAAGACTCCATGTTGCCACTGCAGAGGGCATGGGTTGGATCCCTAGTTGAGGAAATAAGATCCCACATATTGTGCAGTGTGGCCAAAAAAAATTTCTTTAAAAGACTTAGCAAATATCAACCACTGTGCCACATACTGGGGAATACCTTGTTTGAAAGAATTACTAAGTCCCTACCATGATTGACTTCCCTTGTGGCTCAGATGGTAAAGTGTCTGCCTATAATGCGGGAGACCCGGGTTCAATCCCTGGGTCAGGAAGATCCTCTCGAGAAGGAAATAGCAACCCACTCCAGTACTCTTGCCTGGAAAATCCCATCGACGGAGGAGCATCGTAGGCTACAGTCCATGAGGTCGCAAAGAGTAGGACGCGACTGGGCGACTTCACTTCACTTCATTTCACCATGATTGAGGGCTTCCCTGGTGGCTCAGATGGCAAAGTGTCTGCCTGCAATGAGGGAGACCCAGGTTTGATCCCTGGGTCAGGAAGATCCCCTCGAGAAGGAAATGGCAACCCACTCCAGTACTCTTGCCTGGAAAATTCCATGGATGGAGGAGCCTGATAGGCTATAGTCCTTGGGTTCACAAAGAGTCAGACATGACTGAGCGACTTCACTTTTTCACTTTATGATGATTGAGCTTATAGTCCAGTGAAAGGAGAGTGAGAATAAATAATATTACAAATGAGTAAATAGTGAGAAAGTATGGTAATAATCTTAAAGATATTAACTTGGATAATAGGATAGAGTAGTGGTTATCAAACTTCAGAATACATCAGAATTGCCTAGGGGCTTGTGAAAAGATTACTGGATCCCGCACTCAGAGCATCTGATTCAGT